ATTTTGCACAGGACTGTTAAGTAACTGATTATGATTTCATTCTCCATAAAAGCTACCTGTAATCAGATTGATTTTAACTTAATTGTTTACCGTCACGATTTGCAATATAAAGATATGATCCTGAAAACTAATTTATGTTCAAGCCAAAGGTAAACAGATCAATAACTGTCATTTACTTTTCTTGTCTATCATACCCAAATGGGAAAAATAATTTTATGTTTGATCAAGGTATCCCAAAGAGCCACAATCTTGCTGTGCAACTTGCACAACAACTCCTGTAAAAGTGAGCAGTAGTTTCTTAGTTCTATTAGTCCTTGATTCAGGAAAACACTCAACATGCACATAACTCTAAAGTAACTGTGCAGTCTTTTGATAGCCTGAGAGTTTCAGGCTGGGTCTTTCCAGTTTCTAGAGCTAACCCAGACTAACTGGTACCAGTTATGTATGAATCCTACCACCTACCCCTAATTAGCAGAACCCCCGTGTAGAAGAGGCTATATCATTCCATGGACTAGCCTCCATTTTGGATTTTCTTCCCAAAGCAACCACGATGCAGCAAAGCAGCTGGCAGCAGGTCGATTTCGCTTTTTAACCAACATGATCTGGGGTAGAAAGACTTGACAGAGGGTGAAAAGGAGGTGGCAAGTGATAGGAGGCAGTATTGCCCTCCCTGTGCCAACCCAGTGCCTCTCTCTCAAATCAGAAAGGAACATAGAGTAAGGGGAGGAAAGTAGAAATGTGCCCAAACCTCAACGTTTGGATCCACACGCTGATTCAGACTTTCTCGGAGTTCACAGGAGCTCAGCAGTGAGATTTTGGCTTGGACCCAGCCCTAGAGAAAGAGGAAGTAACGGAAAGAAATGAATGTTTTGCACCCTATGACAGAGTAATCTGTGCTATGCTGGGAGGCCATTGGCTGACAGGCAGTATGACTAGTATTATCTAAACCTGCATTCTTATGCTACTTACTGCCCCTGTGGTTGAGTTGTACTTTAAGCTGTGCTGTACTATTAAAGGGCCTATGCCCTATGCTTACTTTCTTCTTCAGGCACTAACCTTGAAGCTGATGTCCTTTCTCTATTCACACAGGCACAGCAGAGGCAGCAGCAGTGTACACCCCCCAACATACTGCAGTCCCAGGTTCCTCACTGTTGCCCTGGAGGGACCATGCCAAGAAGCTGAGAGAGAGTTTTTCTCTCTCTGGCCTACTTGACACTCAGTATCGCTTCTGACTGTCAGCCAGGGTGTAATAATAATAATACTATCAACAATCATAATTGTACACATTTAGATTGCAGTAAAAGTCTCAAACAGACTGGACCTCATTGCGCTCGTTGCTGCACAGAGGAAGACGACACAAAACAAGTGTATGGGACTAACAAAAGGCTAGGTTGGGGTGAGGGAGATGGGGTAACACACATAATGGGATGTGTGCAATTCTTAGCCACTCAGAAGCAGTGCTCACCACTTGCCACCTGCTTAGCCATTATCAGGGTGCAGTTTCCTGACTGCATTATCAAAGAGGGGAGTTTTGAGGAGGGGCTATAAGGAGGAGAAGATACTGGATTTGCTCTGGGAGCTTCTCTTGGAGAAAGTTTGAACGTTTCTTGTTGGAGAATGGGAGAATTGGGGGGTGGAGACTGGCATCCCAATGGAGTGAAGCTGGGAGATGACGTTGTGATAATAGGTTGTATAGATAGAGTAGATTAAACTGTAGAGGGCTTTGTGGCAATTGTAGCATATGGAGACTTTTTTTGGTGTGTTGTGGGCATCTGTCCCATTGGATACCAGACTTAGCCAACCAACTCATTTCATAAGAGCTTCCGAACAGCTGTCAGCTGGTAGGCAATTTTGGTCACTTCTGATCTGATCTGGACTCAAAGACTAATGTTAAAAAGACTCCATCTCCCATTACCAGTCTCCTGAACCACCCCTCTGCATGAAACACAGCCTTTTTATTTTTTTGTTTTGTTTTCCAGATATGCATATAATTTCCAGACCACATCATTGCCTTTCTCCTGCCCCCACACCCCACCTCTTCCCTGTTGCTATCTTTTGTTTCCTAAACTCTTACTGCTCTTTGCGCCATCAGTGGTCTGTCTGCAGCTATCAACAATATTTTACCCCAATTGGCCTGCCATGTTTATTTAAAAATAAAAGACATATACACATAAAACCTCTAAATTGAATGCTGTCCGTTTCTTTTAGTGCGTGTGCAAGTTAAAAGTGGCCTAGCTATAAGTGAAGTGCTATAGAGAGCCACAGTTAGGCTAGAGGAAAGAAAGAAAGAAAGAAAGAAAGAAAGAAAGAAAGAAAGAAAGAAAGAAAGAAAGAAAGAAAGA